GTGTTTAGTGTTTAGTGCATGATAAAATTTACAATCTTGATGACATCATGCATGACGGCTTCCAGTGTAGGTTCTAAATATTTGACCATAAGGGCCTGGCGATGGATCATACAGTGAGTAACTTCAATATTTGGGTTATTTTTTTTTACGAAAGCTGAAAAACCATTAATATGACCCAGCATAGCTGGAGCTCCATCCAAAGATACAGAAATACAGTTTTCCCATTTTAAACTTTGCGCATTGAAGTATTCATTTACTTTATTGTAGACATCAATTCCACGAGATCTCAACTCGAGAGGAGAACAAAACAGCAATTCCTCTTCAAAATTATCTGCACCTTTGTAGCGAACATATACCATTAGCTGTGAATTGCTACTAAAATCAGTTGTCTCATCAACCTGAATAGCAAAATATTTAGCCTGTTTTAATGCGAAAATAACCTGTTCCTTCACATTTTCTGCTAATATAGAAATTCGTTCTTTCACAATTCTCGCAGACAAGGGCACTGAATTCAGTTTCTTCGCTTCTTTTTGACCACACATAATCTCTGCCATTTTTACAGCAGCTGGTTTAACCAAATCTTCACCAATAGTGTATGGTTTCTTATTTCGAGCAATCAACCAGGCTACTTCAAAGCTAGCCCTTGATGCTGAATGCTGATCAAATGTACCAAAAAAGTTGCTATTCAATCTTTGTCTTTTAACAGATATTTCTAAATTTGCAAAGTATTCTCGCGGTTTGGAAGACAGGTGTGAATGCAAATTATCTAAATGTTTCTTCAATTGACTTTTTTTGAAAGATTCTGAAGTCAGTACCTTCATACATACAACACACTGTGGTTTCATTGTACCATTGTCTTCTATTTGTGTAAAACCGTAATTAAGGAATTCGTCTTGGTATGTTCTTTTTCTATTTGCTGCCATCTGAAGGGAGACAGAAAATAATAGTTGTAAAATACTTGAATTAAATTTTCAAATTGCGGCTTATCTTGATCGATATATCGATGATTAATGATAAAATGGTGGTCTTGTCAGCAACTAACTAGTAAAAACTCGCTCTCTGACTCGTCAATGTATTTGTATCTTGACGGCATGGCACGGACTGAGCAGGTAGCCGGGGCTGTGCTTTACTGCGCAAAGATATAACTCGAGCACACTCTAGTGGTGGGGAGTGAGATGGCGTGGCCTGCATATGTCGCTAAATTGTTTAAGTTGAAAAAAATACTAACAGGTTTATAAAATAGCAAATTAAAAATATATACTTTCTACTCTCAAAAATTTCATTTTTACCCCATTTGGGGTAATTTACCCCGGTTCCCCGACCGCTGTGCTAAAGCATCCTGCACAATGTTTGCAACATGTGGATGAGTATTATCATGCAACAAAATCATACCATTTGATAGCAAGCCTTATTCTTTATGGTTTTATGCAGCTTGTCCAGTGTTGCATTGTAGTGGTTGGCTCACATAAGAATCTTTAAAGTCTACCAGTAAAGGCATTGTAATGTTAAAAAATGTGGTCATCATAATCTTACAGGCAGAGGCCTGACTTGAATTTTTTGTGTATTGGTGAGCCAGGGTATTTCCATTGCATGCTCACTTGTGTACAGGTTGCCTCATAGTGGTGGCACCACATTTTGATCTTGGATGGATTCTAAATAACTCTGGTCATGTTTTTACTACTCTATGCCAAAAAGAAAACATGCAAGATGACTGATCTTATCCCTGCTTGTTCATTAGTTCATGCTTGTCATGCCACATGTGATATCATTCCTCTTCCCTTCTGCCAAACCACGACACAGCACAAACGGGTTTCATTTGATCAATCAATCCTAATAATTTATTGATTCTAGTTTTCATTATTAATACATATGTAACAAAGTTTCTATTTGTTTTCTTATTTTTAGAATAAGTAATCATAATATCATGCATCATTTAAAGCTTTTTATTTAAAATTTTAATAAAAAGCTTAATTTTTATTATATTTGCTTGAATTTATTAAGCCTAAAAACGAAAATTTTTCTTACAGTAGGTCATTTTATCTAGACAGCATGTATTTTTATGTCAAATTGATGTAATAGTGTACATTATTTGAACAAAATGATTATACTTCGTATGTCAATGTTTATTTTCATGCTGACTCAATTCATTTGTGTGCTGTTAAGTCCAATATGTTATTGTTTTTATAATTTTACGAAATTTCAGATATTGCAGTAACGTATTTAAGATATTCTTGCATTTGTTTCTTATATTAAGATATTATTTTAATATCAAAGTAGCCAGTTACAGTTTAATTGCTTTGCTTCTTCACTATAGGTATTGATGTTGTAGACTGTATTTAATTTTACAAGCTCTATGACGGCTTTTCTTTTCCACTAGACTTACTACACCATCAATTAGAAACGGGACAATCTTTGGAAAATCACATTTTTATTTCCTAGAGTATGCATTTCGGACTTCGAGTTCCTTTTCAACTCTTTGTAATGTAACTGTTTAGGAAATAATGCATACAAGTTAACATAAAATTTTTTCACTGTTACAAAATTTGTAAACATTTTTAACTTACAATGTTATGAGAAGCACAAAAATGGTGACAATTGATAACATACGGATGATAATTATTAATCTACAGATGTTTGCTATAATAATAGCTAGAATGTTAATGATTTACAGGAACAATATATATAACAAGGTGTAAAAATTGTGAACTTACAGTAGATATGATGGTATGATACTTAAAGTAGCAATAGCAATGAGAGGCAAACAATATACATAAAAAAGTACACTGTTAAAACCATAACATTTAAAACCATAACATTGGAAACTGTTTTACCATTAAAACAATAAAATAGAATGATGAAGTAAAAAACAAGTGCACCATTAAAAGAATAAGATTATAAACTTATTTAGAGTAAAATCGTAACATGATGAGACGATTCACAGAAATAACAAGAAATTTGCCGCCATTTACCTTTTTATTTAAACACTCCTGTTCCCCCCTCACGCTCCCTCTTGATCAATATGGATACCATGTTTCATGTAATTTTTGACCAGTACAGTATTACTATTCATCATTCTGTCTTTGTTTTTAAGTCCTCTTAAATCTAGCAGAGAAGAAAAACCATCATAGAAATTGTAAAATTGAATATACAAGACTAGACAAGCATATTACAAGACTGTATTTACTTAATATTATTTTTTGATGAAAACTGGTAT